AGTAGTGCTATCTGCAGGGTTAGCTCCAGGTAAATATTGCAATCCTTTAGCCATTCCTGGACCTGTGTCCAAAACAAGCTACAAATGGACAGTACCAATACAAATGATCTAATGATTCTGTCTCTTCGCAGCAAAATCTGCAGAGCTGGGAAGACTGTATCCCCCATATAAATAACATTCTATTGCTAGCAAGAATTTGGTATATTAATTGAAATTGAAAAATTCTAAGTTTTGAATCTGGCGTCGTTTTGCGTATCAGTTCATAAACACTATGCCATGGAATCGGTATGTCAAAAATCTCTTCCCAACTATTTTGCAATCTATATGGGACGGCTGTCAATCCTTTGGTCCTTAAATGAAACTGGTATACTTTTTTATTTATCACAATTTTCTTTAACCAATTATGTTCTTTAATCAATTATGTTATTTAATGCAGGGCCGACAGACAAGTTTCTTACTTTTTCCCCATTCCACTTTCCTCTTCCATTTTTGCGGTAATGCTGCAATTATTTGGTTGTAATTTTGGGTAAAGCAGACATTTCCTTATGTTTTTGTTAGCTGCATGTGCGACATAACTCCACCAATCCTACCTATGATATAATTTACGAAGATTATACTTTTTTTTTTTATAAAGAAATCATGTTTCTTTTTTATCAATTACTATATTTGAGTTGAACCACAATATTTGTTGGATTATTTGTTCTGTCGATTCTGGAGGATGAAATTGAAATTGCAACCAACTTTCTATGGCTTGTTTTAGAAATGGTGATATTTGGGAGATGATTTCCTTTTCAAATAACTGAAAGTGAGAGGTTGTAATCTGAATAAAGGGGAAAAGGTCATTCTTGAACATTGGGTGAGACAATCTTACTAATTTGCTAGAGAACCAGTTCGGATTTAAGTATAACTTTTGTATGACTGAAGCTTTTAGTGATAGGTCTAATGCTTTAATATTTAATCATTTCTGTCCTCCGAATTCATATTCATTATATAAATAGGCCCGTTTAATTTTGTCTGGCTTGCCGTTCCAAATAAAATGGAATATTTTTTTCTCATATAATTTTTAAAAAACTGTTCGCTAGGCTTAGGCAAGACCATAAGCAAATAGGTAAACTTGGATAATACTAAAGAGTTAATCAGGGTGATTTTTCCACAAATTGACAGGTATTTACCTTTCCATGGTAGCAAGATCTTATCTATTTTTGCTAACTTTCTATTAAAATGTATTGGAGTGAGAAATTTTATTTAATTTGGGATATGTATTCCGAGTATATTCACATCACCATCAGACCATTTTATTGGTAAACTACATGGTAATGTAAAATTTTTATTTTTTAGTGATCCAATACGTAATATAGTACATGTATCATAATTTGGTTGTAATCCAGAGAGGTTAGAAAATGTATCTAGAGGCTGTGGAGGGATTCAAGTTGTGGATTTAAAAGAAAACATGAATCAGCGTACAATGACACCTTTGTTTTTAAGCCCTGGATTTCTAATCCCTTGATATTATTGTTGGATCTGATTTTAATAGCTAACATTTCGATGGCAATAATAAATAGATATGCCGATAGTGCACAACCTTGTTTCACTCCTCTTAACAGTTTAAAACTTTCGGAGAAATAGCCATTATTTACTATTTTACACCTAGGGTTACTATACATGATTTTAACCGATTTTATAAGAGATTCTCCAAAATTGAAATGCTCCAGGCATTTATATATAAACCCCAGTCGTACTTTTTCAAATGCCTTTTCAAAGTCTGCTATGAATAGCAGGCCTGGTTTCCCAGATTTTTCATAGTGTTTTATTGTTTCCAGTACTTGCCTTATATTATCTCCAATGTATCATCCATGTAAAAAACCTGTCTGATTATAATGAATAATGTCCGACAATGCCTTTTTAATTCTATGCGCTATACATTTTGCTAGAATTTTTGCATCACAACACAGAAGTGTAAGGGGCCTCCAACTTTATATTTTCCACTTGTATCCTGTTTCAGTAATAATGAAATCAGACCTTCTTCTTGAGTGTCTGATAATCTACCAATTACATAGGAGTTTTTAAAACATGCTAATAACGGTCCTCTGAGTATATCAGAAAAGGTTTGGTTTACCTCGACTGGTATGCCATCCAACCCTGGAGTTTTCCCAGACTTAAAGTCTTTAATTGCATCCAGAAGTTCCTCCTCTGTAATTTCACCTTCACATGAGTCTTTGTGTATGGCTGTTAATTTTACATTATCAATAGAACAAAACATCTCTACAATTAGCTTCAGTTAGAGGAGATGGAGGCGACTGAAACGTAAACATATGCTTAAAGTACTTTGCTTCCTCCTTCAAAATATCATTTGGTGAATCATGGGTGACTCCATCATTTGTAACCAGTTTCAGTAAATTATTTTTGGTAGCATTTCTATGTTGAAGATTAAAAAATAATTTGGTGCATTTTCCCCCATATTCCATCCAGTTTGCCTTATTTGTATAATATATTACACTTGATCTTTCTTGAATAAGTTTCTCCATTTCTTTTTGTTTTTCCTCTAATTTATTCTGAGCCTCTATGTTACATTTTTTATTGCTATCTATCTGTTCTGTTAGACCTTCTATTTCCTTTGTTAGTATGGACTCTTTTGACCTAAATTGCTTTTGTTTTCGAGATGAGTACTGAATTGCATGGCCTCTAAAGGCACATTTAAAAGTGTACCATACAATAAGGGGATTTGCTGTACCTATGTTATGTCGGTCAAAAATCAGTTATAAATTCCTCTGTCCTAGCTAAAAACACGTTATCATCCAATAGGCTTTGATTACATTTCCAATATCCTCGCCCATGTGGAAATTCAGTAAGAGTAATGTTTATGCCAATTATATGATGGTCCGACCGCATTCTGTCCCCTATCAACACTTTTTAAACTTTTGGTGCCAACGAGAATGACATAAGAAAGAAGTCAAGACGACTAGTTTGATTGAGTCTCCGCCATTTATATCTCACTAGATCAGGATATTTAAGCCTCCATATACAGTGGGGGAAAAAAGTATTTAGTCAGCCACCAATTGTGCAAGTTCTCCCACTTAAAAAGATGAGAGAGGTCTGTAATTTTCATCATAGGTACACGTCAACTATGACAGACAAAATGAGAAGAAAAAAATCCAGAAAATCACATTGTAGGATTTTTAATGAATTTATTTGCAAATTATGGTGGAAAATAAGTATTTGGTTAATAACAAAAGTTTCTCAATACTTTGTTATATACCGTTTGTTGGCAATGACACAGGTCAAACGTTTTCTGTAAGTCTTCACAAGGTTTTCACACACTGTTGCTGGTATTGCCACTCCAGGACCTTGAAATGCTTCTTACGAAGCCACTCCTTTGTTGCCCGGGTGGTGTGTTTGGGATCATTGTCATGCTGAAAGACCCAGCCACGTTTCATCTTCAATGCCCTTGCTGATGGAAGGAGGTTTTCACTCAAAATCTCACGATACATGGCCCCATTCATTCTTTCCTTTACACGGATCAGTCGTCCTGGTCCCTTTGCAGAAAAACAGCCCCAAAGCATGATGTTTCCACCCCCATGCTTCACAGTAGGTATGGTGTTCTGTGGATGCAACTCAGCATTCTTTGTCCTCCAAACACGACGAGTTGAGTTTTTACCAAAAAGTTATATTTTGGTTTCATCTGACCATATGACATTCTCCCAATCCTCTTCTGGATCATCCAAATGCACTCTAGCAAACTTCAGACGGGCCTGGACATGTACTGGCTTAAGCAGGGGGACACGTCTGGCACTGCAGGATTTGAGTCCCTGGCGGCGTAGTGTGTTACTGATGGTAGGCTTTGTTACTTTGGTCCCAGCTCTCTGCAGGTCATTCACTAGGTCCCCCCATGTGGTTCTGGGATTTTTGCTCACCGTTCTTGTGATCATTTTGACCCCACGGGGTGAGATCTTGCGTGGAGCCCCAGATCTAGGGAGATTATCAGTGGTCTTGTATGTCTTCCATTTCCTAATAATTGCTCCCACAGTTGATTTCTTCAAACCAAGCTGCTTACCTATTGCAGATTCAGTCTTCCCAGCCTGGTGCAGGTCTACAATTTTGTTTCTGGTGTCCTTTGATAGCTCTTTGGTCTTGGCCATAGTGGAGTTTGGAATGTGACTGTTTGAGGTTGTGGACAGGTGTCTTTTATACTGATAACAAGTTCAAACAGGTGCCATTAATACAGGTAACGAGAGGAGGACAGAGGAGCCTCTTAAAGAAGAAGTTACAGGTCTGTGAGAGCCAGAAATCTTGCTTGTTTGTAGGTGACCAAATACTTATTTTCCACCATAATTTGCAAATAAATTCATTAAAAATCCTACAATGTGATTTTCTGGATTTTCTTTTTCTCAATTTGTCTGTCATAGTTGACGTGTACCTATGATGAAAATTACAGGCCTCTCTCATCTTTTTAAGTGGGAGAACTTGCACAATTGGTGGCTGACTAAATACTTTTTTCCCCCACTGTATCTACTAGTTCTAATGTATCCATGACATTCACGATTTCCTTAAGAGCATGAGGGCGATAGTTTGTAGTGTGATTTCCATTACGGTCCATTGAGCTATTAAAACAGTATTATAATCCCCCCCATTCCTTTTTCCACACAACTTCATCTAGAATTGTTGAATGAGTTTCCTGTAAACAATAGATATTATATTCCTTCTCTTTGAGCCATGTAAATATTGTTCTTCTTTTGTTATTATCTGCTAAGCCATTACAATTATAACTGGCTATACTTATTTCACCACATACCATGATGAGATACAAGTTTCAAATATATTACTTGATATTACTTGTTAGATATACTGCACTGTCGGAGCTAGAAACACAAGCATTTCGCTAAACCCGCAATAACATCTGCTAAACACGTGTATGTGACCAAAATATGTTGATTTGATTTGGGTGGTCATTAAATGTTGTTACCAGGTCATGGTGTGCATTTTCATGGTGACTGTATATCACCTTCTGCTCTCTGCTCAGCTTCACTGAGGGACTTGTCTGCTGACAGGATGGCCTGACCAATGCTGGCCTTCCTTTCCAAGTACTCCTTCAGTACCTCTTCAGCCTGGAACCACCACACATAATGTTTAACTTTCAACATCACATCAGTACATGCATAACTCCTTTGAACAGCATCCACAAAACATGATAATTGCATACTATCCTAAAATAGCTGAAGCACCACCTCAACAACGTACCTTTACACCCCCGCCTTTCTCAGATCTGTATTCGCTGGTGGCCAGTTTCAGGTCGTTGCAGTACTCTTTGTATCCTCCAGAGGTCATGTAGGATCCATCCCTTATTTGCTCCTCCAGAGGGGCAAAGATGCATTCGATTTTGGACTCGCATGCCTTCTGGGACTCCTTGTAGTTCCTCTCACAGATCTTCTGGTACTCCTCCTGAAGCACTTTCTACAGAAAGGATAAGGCTGGTTCAGAATGTACCAGAACAAACCAGAATGTCTTGGTTCAGTTGAGGTAATAAATGGTGAGAAATCTGTCGATGTTCCCCTGGAGCAAGGCACTTAACCCTAATCGCTCTGGATAAGTGAGTCTGCTGAATGACTAAAATGTACATGTAAGTGTAGCATGAAGGGATAGCTCACCCAAATGACAAATTATCCTCCTCTTGTTAAATACATGCATCACTGAATTGAATATTGACTCATTGAATATGGAATCTACACTCCCATACCATGAGCTCCAACTGATACTTCTGGTCCTCGTCTTTAAAGGAGCTGTTGATGAATATGGCCACAGCCTCCTTCTCCATGACAGCATGTACTTCAGACAGCTCCTCTTGGGTCTCTGTGGGGTAGGCCACCCAGTCAGCCATGCCTTTCTGGTAGTGGGCCCTGGCCCTCTCGATGGCACTGGAGTTCTCAATCTGGGCCAGCGCCAACACAGCGTTGTCCAGGCAGGGGATCTGCCCGCTCCGGATGGCAGACACATAGGTCTCTGCCAGGTTTCCCAGCACTGCAGGAGAGGGCAGGGAATCAGCATATCTGGTAGTTGTGGTAATGATGGTGGTAGTACTGTAGCGGTGCTTGTATAGATGTAATGTAAGTAGTAGAATTAATAGTAATTTAAGTACTAATGGTGTTGTTAGTTGTTCTGGTCAAGGTGGTTGTAGTCGTAGTAGTAGTAGTAAAAATAGAGGAAGTAGTTATAGTAGCAGCAGTAGTGTAGTTCTATTATTAAAAATCATTACCTACTTTCATAAGTGCTTTCCATCCTCAATATCAGTGTTTGAATACTCACGTCTGCCGGTAACTTTCAGGCCCTGTTTCAGGGTCTTGGTCTTGGCCTCCTTGAAGACATGGTCACAGAACTCCTTGGCTTGCTCCACAAAGGAGGGCTCCAGGTCAGCATCGGTCAGCTCCTCCATACGTCTCATTTTGTTTCCGTTGGCTGGCCTCTCAAACACAAAGCACCAGCGAGGAGTGAAATAGTTCCGCAGGCAGCTACGAGGCAGGTTGTATGCCTGATCTTTCTTACTATGACCTTTGTAAATGAAAGGGAAAGTAAATCAATCATTAATTAACAAATAAAATATGATTAACCGTAAATTCAATCTAACCATGGTTTTGATTAAGAGATTAAGTTAGCTGCGCTAGCTGTGTTCCCTTCACCTGTTTTCAGTTTAAGAGCGTTCTCCAGGTACTCATTGGCTGTGATGGGTATTCCATCAACCTCCAGGGTCAGGGTGAAATCTCTGACTGTCCACACAAAGGAAGGAAAGTAACGCAGGTACTCTGAAGATTCCTCCCCGTCTCGCTGGTTGGACTTCACCTTGATGTGCTCTGTCATTGCTGTCACATAGCTGTGGGGGGGGGGGGGGGGTGTTGAGGACTAAATGAACCCAGACATACAACACTACGCAGTAAACTGGTGTCTGGTTCAAATACTAAGACAGGATTGATTCTTACTCTGATTGTGTTTTATAGATTTCCTCGAACCAAATTAGACTACATCAATCTATATTTCTTTATAGGCCTGCTGAAGGATACTGTAGTTTCTCCAGGGCGTTGTTGTCGATGGTTCCCATGCTGTTGTACACCAGAGTACTGCTGAGCAGGACAGCCAGGGAAAAGATCCAGTTGTCATTCTTCTCATCACCCTGCAGACACAACAGAAGGAACACCTTGGTACTCTGTTCATACTAGAGTGGATTGGAATAAAGTCAGTAACGAAATGTCTACTCCATATGCCGTTTTATGGGCTCCCTACATAAATAAAGGTTGAAGCTAGAATCCTTAATTGAAACATTAACAAAGCTTACACCCTGCCTCAGTTTTGGTTAAAATCATTATTTAAAAAGCAGAGGGATGGGCCTGGAGAAATGTAATGACTCAAATTCATAGACTGAGCTATGGATGCAATGACTTACCATCCGTGATATCATAATTGTAGTGTTAACCATGATGTTATACAGTGTTTATATACATTTACAAACATTGGAGTAAAACAAGCTTATATTTTGGGTTCTGATGGGGTACGACAGTTGAACTAAGCTCATGAGGCATTATTTATAAGTTATATTCTTTAGAATCAATGGGTATATATCATTAATTTATAAGTCAGACATGATATACAGTTGATGACATCAGCCATCAGTACTAGACACAGTCCACTGAGATAACATGGGACTTTACCCATAGCAATGCTATCTGTCATCTAAACAATCTGAGCCATAAAAGGTTTTTGACAGAGAGTGAACTTTGACCTCCCACCTTCTCCACATCCCCCAGCCCCTCTGTATCCAGCAGCACCAGGGTGTGGTCTCTTTTTTCAGGATGAGGCACACACCACATCCAGATGCCCTTAGTTTTGGACTGGATGGTGGCTCCAAGGGCAAAACCTTGAGGACAGAGGATAAAAACTGTTCTTAGGACATTAAAATAAGGAATCTGTAAAGAGGCAGCTGGATGTAAATTGTTTACTCAAGGCAGCTGGTTTTCAGATTAACCTTTTTGTCTAGTTATACTGTATATCATACTAACAGACTGAAAGTGAAACTAGCAGCCAGTGCAATAACACAATGTGTCACAGGTCATATAGGTTGTGTTTACGGCACCATTTATCTACAGAACCCACCTAGAACAAATGTGGTCGGAACAAAATGTTTTTATGTTTGCTCTGCTGTCTGGTTGTACTTTATGGTGTAAAACTGAAAGAAAAACTAACTGTAGTTTCCAGAATGCAATAACAGGATTGAGAGAAATAACCGTCAAAGCATAATGTGGTCAGAACAAGATAAATCTGTACTTTGGTGCAGCATATCTGTCTCTCTAACCCAGAATGTCAAATGCAGTACATATAGACATGCTGTACATAAGTTAACACTTTCTGTTTCAAATTGCGATTACCCTATCTTTATGATAAATCATTATCTTATACATAATCATTCCTTAACCATATAACAGTTTTGCGGACATGCGTATTGTTATGTACACTGAACAAAAATACATGCAACAATTTCAAAGACTTGACTGAGTTCCAGTTCAAATAAGGAATTCAGTCAATTGAAATAAATTCATTATGCCCTAATCTATGGATTTCATATGCATCTGTTGGTCACAGATACCTTCAACAACAAAAAAGTAGGGGCGTGGATCAGAAAACCAGTCAGTATCTGGTGTGACCACCATTTGCCTCATGCAGCGTGACACATCTCCTTCGCATAGAGTTGATCAGACTGTTGATTGTGGCCTGTGGAATGTTGTCCCACTCCTCTTCAATGGCAGTGCGAAGTTGCTGGATATTGGCGGGAACTGTAAAACGCTGTCGTACACGTCAATCCAGAGCATCCCAAAAATGCTCAATGAGTGACATGTCTGAAGAGTATGAAGGCCATGGAAGAACTGGGACATTCTCAGCTTCCAGGAATTGTGTACAGATCCTTGCGACATGGGGCTGTGCACTATCATGCTGAAACATGAGGTGATGGCAGCAGATGAATGGCACAGCAGTGGACCTCAGGATCTCATCACCGTATCTCTGTGCATTAAAATTGCCATAGATAAAATGAAATAGTGTTCGCTGTCAGTAGTTTATGCCTGCCCATACAATAACCCCATCGAAGGTGAGCATTTGCCCACTGAAGTCGGTTAAGACGCCGAACTGCAGTCAGGTCAAGACCATGGTGAGGACGACGAGCACACAGATGAGCTTCCTTGAGAGGGTTTCTCACAGTTTGTGCAGAAATTCTTCGGTTGGGCAAACCCACAGATTCATCTGCTGTCCGGATGGCTGGTCTCAGATGATCCTGCAAGTGAAGAAGCCGGATATGGAGGTCCTGGCCTGGTATGGTTATGCGTGGTCTGCGGTTGTGATATCGGTTGGACGTACTGCCAAAACGACGTTGGAGGCAGCTTATGGTAGAGAAGTGAACATTCAATTCTCTGGCAACAGCTCTGGTGGACATTCCTGTAGTCAGCATGCCAATTGCACACTCCATCAAAACTTGAGACATCTGTGGCATTGTGTTGTGTGACAAAACTGCACATTTTAGAGTGGCCTTTTATTGTCCCCTGCACAAGGTGCACCGGTGTAATGATCATATGGTTGAATCAGCTTATTGATATGCCACACCTGTCAGGTGGATGGATTATCTTGGCAAAGGAGGAATGCTCACTAACAGGGATGTAAGGAAATTTGTGCACAAAATGTCAGAGAAATACGCTTTTTGTTCGTATGGAAATTTCTGGGATCTTTTATTTAGGCTCATGAAACATGGGACCAACACTTTACATGTTGTGTTTATATCTTTGTTTGGACTTTGGTCGAACCATACATAAAAAAATGCTTTAGTGGATGTGCTCACCTTTCCTCTCCCCAGCCAGCTTGTTCATGAGGTAGGACTTGCCGGTGCGGTACAGCCCGACCACCGCCACCACTACCACATGCTGGTCAATCTGGTCCAGGATGTCCAGTGCACTGCGGACCACACGCAGCTTCCCATCACTGTCGTTCTCAATCAGACATACTGGTTCCTTCATGGATACTGTCTGGCCTGCCATGATGCTGTCCTATAGAAACCCTGGCAATGACATGCATAAGAACTTTTGGTTGAGTAGGGCACTGTGTGTGTGTGTGTGTGTGTGTGTCATAAAAGTCCCTCAACTTTTTTATTGCAATTAAATGTAAAGCGATAAAGGCGCCACAGGGGCTGGTGATATGGAGTGAATCAAGGCTTATCATAACAGATTGGGTTGACAATGACACAAAATAATTAATTCATCTTAAAAATAAACATATTTTAAATTGTTACTTGGTTTCTTTCCACACATGAGACTAGCCTATATCACATTTTCTAGTTTACAAGAAACGGACACAATATTGCTCTACGAATTGTCTAAACATCAGATTGTTACCATGGTTACTCCATGGATTATCAGTGTGACCGAAGTCACCCTAAAAAAGACGCAATATTCTCCTACAAGCCAGAATTTGAATACAATTATATTTACACGTACTTTACCGGTTGTACATGCTGTTGGTCCTTTTAGCGGTAGAAGGTGGTGGTTTACCCGACTTTTGAGTCGCCGGTAGGTTCCGTGACTTGTATTTTCAATGTCTTCACGCATTGCACATGTGATAGTGATGCAGGGGTTGACTCATAACCAGCAGTCCCGCGGTTATACGGGTTTAGGGCCACTACATATTGTGTGGCTGAAGGGCGGGTTGAATAAAGAAACAATACCTTAAAAAATCCATAAATTTATAATTCTTGTGCAATTTATATAGGCTACATCGAGGTATTTTAGGCTATCTGGTAGGCTATTAGTGCATAAACCTAAACTTTAGGTCTTAACTGTACGCGCGCAAAATAGCCTACACAGCCAATCGCCAAATAATGCTTTTTGGAACGGGCAGAAAAAGTTAACATCAATCCACGGAGGCAAAAAGGATAGTTGAAAATAAAGAGAAGGGAGGGCCAGAAAAGTAATGTTTGGGAAAGATTAGGTAAAGTGGTGGTAAGAGAGGATGATAGCAGTGCCGGCTATGTTTGGCTGTGTGTGATGATTGTGTGGCGCTATACAAATTCGACAGTCACAAGATGGGACTTCAAATAGGCCTATTGCATGTCAAGGGAACTGTAGCCTACTGTTTAGATGGGTTAGCGGGAAACTTAAATCTGGACATTGACTAACCAGAATAACCTAAAGTTTTTTGGCAAACTCCAAAGACCTCTGATAATAGTAGTCCCGTGCGAATCGACATCCCTGTGTTTTGAGAGAAATGTCTGAGTTTGACAGGTATTGCTCGCGGTTTGAGCAAGAAAACAATAACTGATTCGATCATTTGAACGAAGTGCTGCGCATAGCATATGAAGGGCCTACATGTATGAACTTTCACAGTGAATGCTTTTGTTTATAGGTTTTGTGTGAATGAATTGAACATCGGCAATTGTATCATAAAAAATGATTACGCCTAATTAATGCAACCCTTGTTGTTAATAGATCGCAAAGCAGCATACAAAAGTGCTAGCTAATCTTCCCCCAACATTGGACACCCCCTAACTTCGGACACTCTAGGACTAAATCACCTCGAGCTCAACATTTAAATGGACTGGAAAATAACGGTACGTTTTGCGACTAAAGACACCATTCTAGCTAGCTGACCACCGATTTTCAGTGCAATTTAAGTAAGTTAAGTTACGTTTTGAGAGTTTTCAAAAAAGTTATATGTATACACATGTTGTGGGACACGCTATATATTGTAAAATTCGACTGTGCAACAGACCACACATAATTTAATATACCTCTGAAATATAGCTAACAGATTTTCTAATGTTGCTAGCTTATTTTCTAAATGTTGATAGAACTGCTAAGTAAGCAAAAAGGAAATAAATTGTAAGCGTTGGATAATACATATCACGAAAACAGCTGAATGTTGTCAAGCTTTACCATATCAAAATTGGAGTCTGACGGGGACGTTTTGCACAATCTGCTAAAATTAATTTTGAACCATGAACTTTTTCACACCTATACTGTTGGCTATGATTCATCTTACAACAGCTACATAGAGGCAGTATTTAGTAAAATTTTACAATGTATGCATCAATATTAAACTAATTGGGACACTAATTTTCATTACAGATAACATCAACCAAAAAACGTGGGTACACTTTCAGTTATTGTGAAAACCTTCATCATCACCTTTCAATACCTTAGCTTTGAAATGTAAATGTTTATACATATTCAGATTTAGTTATCTTTCTAAAATGTGTATAGTATGCCAAGTTATTTAGCTACATGTATTTACCATGACAGCATGGAGAAAGTCAAGAGGAAGCAGTGGAGTGAGGTGGACATGTTCCATGCCATGGAGGACTGCGGGCAGGGATGGCTATCCGCCAGGCTGCCAAGGTTAGGCATCTTTTATTTTTAGGAGATTACCACGTGTATGTGAATTTTATCTGCTAGTAACCATTTTATTTTCTTATCTACCAAGGTGCATGGTGTACCTTGGCAGACCCTGGCGGACAGGCTGAGCGGCCGGGTGACCCATGGTTGTCGCAGTGGACCACCCACATCTGGTGCAGTACTGTATCTACTGCGCCATGGGTTCCCCTTCACTAGACAGAGGCTGATGAAATACACAGACAAAATACACAGGTATTTGGTGTTCTATGTGTTTATGTATGTAGAATGCTGGTCTGACTGTTCTCAATGTGTGTGATGTAAATGTGGATGTGTATGGTGATGCCAAATGTTTGTATGGTGATGCCAAAACAAACATTTTCATCCTGGATGGACAATTATATATTCTATTCTATTGTAGGTTTCGGCACCCAGGTGAAACAATCCCACCACTGGGGAAGAGGTGGTGGGAAATGTTCAGGAGGAGGCACAAGAACCTGAGCATGAGGAGGCCGGACACCCTGGACAGGGGGAGAGCTGAGTGTGCCACACGTCCGACGATGGACACCTTCTTCACTTCTAATGAGAAGCACTTGGAGGAGAGTGGGTTGAGGGAGAAACCCAGACAAATCTATAACTGCGATGATTCTGGGTTTCGTAGCAACCAGAGCAGGCACAAAGTGCTGGCTCCCCGGGGCGCAAAACACATGTACCAGCAGGCTCCGGGGACCAAGGTGCACGTCACAGTGCTGGCCTGCTTCAACGCAGCTGGGGAGGCCACTACTTCAACGCAGTCCCCCCGTTTATCATCTACCCCAAGTGTTTCCCCGGTGGCCATTACACACTGGGAGGCCCACCCCAAGCCTTGTATGGACGGTCAAACAGTGGCTACATTGACGGGGACCTGTTCAGGAAGTGGTTTTAGCATGCAGTGAAGGAGCGCCCTCTCCTTCTCCTTTCGATGGGCACAAGAGCCACGTGGACCCGGAGGTGCTCGCGGCAGCACTAAGGGAAGGGGTTGTCTTTGTCTTCCACCACACTGCACCCACGTCCTGCAGCCGCTGGACGTGGCATACTTTGGCACTTTAAAGGCTGAGTTCTCCAAGGTAGCTGGAGACCTTAGCCATTTTGACCACTCCTACATGGTAAACAAATCACAATTTGCCAAAGTATTCCGCTACCCGTATCAGCGCAAGGACATGCGCTATGGGGTGGAAGGGTTTAAGAAGTGTGGCCTCTTCCCTTTTGACCCTTGAGCAATTGAAGGGTCCCGTTTAATGCAGTCTCTGTCCCTACCGGGTCCCACCACTGCCTCTCCTGGAACCAGCAGCACTGTGCCGTCCAGCAGCACCTCCTCCCCAGCGACCACAGGAGGACCCTCAGCCCATGCTCCATTCCCAGCCCCTGCTCCAGTCCCAGCCCTAGCAGAGCACCCCCTAATAGAGGGGGGGCTGCTAGCAAAGGACCTGGGGCACATCCTTACTGTCCTGAAGTATCGGCTAGACCGATACAGAAGACTACCTGTGGTCCCCACATGCATCACCGGGGAGGAATACACGCGCCAGTGGCAGGAGAGGGGTGAGAAGGAGAGGGCCGAGGCAGAGGAGAAAGAGCGTCGGGCAGCCCTCAGAACACAGAGGGCACCGGAGAGGGCTGCCATGGATGAGACCATTGACGCCATCGCCTCTGCTGGACCCCCTGCTGGGACCACTCCTGACAGCTGCCACACCATCGTCGGCCCCTCAACCCCACCATTACAAACACCAGCTCCTCCAAGCCATCGTCTGCGGTTTCGTCCACCACCACCACGATCCACACCACCCCCCCTGTCTGTCACCACCAACACGGCCTCCTCTGTACCAACTGCCTCCTCCGTCTCCCCTGGTCACACCACCATAGCAGCCTCGTCTGGTGACCCTGCCCCCTGCAATTTGAATACAGCCACCTCCACAGGTAAACACGTTAAATTATGAAGAAATGACTGTTTGTTATCTGTTTTATAAAACTGCAATGTTTAAACTTTCTTTTTCTCTCTTTACATATCTACAGTCCATAGCACCAGCCCTCAAGTCATGTCCACCTCCTCCAAAACTTCTGCAGCTTCCTCCAGAGGTATTGATGTAAAGAAGTTGAAAAGGGTTTTCATGAAACATGCTCTGTCTAACACTACTTTTTCTCAAACTGCATCACAGAAAAGGAAGAGAAAAGCTCACCCGGCCACCTCTGTCACGCCACCCATTGCACCACTCTCAGGTACTTCATAATCTGTTTTTCTCTCTCTCAGTTGTATCAATTACTATTGTTGTTGAAGAACTTCTACATTTTGCAAAACCATGTTAATCTATTTGATTATTATTATTTTTTAAATAAAAGAAGACACCACCTGCTGTGCTCGCTGCGGGGAGCGTGATCCGCCTGCAAGCTCCCCTCAGGAGTGTAGGTCCGAGGTGCCATGGGTGTGCTGTGACTTCTGCCAGCATTGGTTCCGTTGCAGGTGTGTGCAGTGGGATCCAGAGGTGGCGGTGGAGCTGGACTTTTATTGTGATTTTTGTGTCAATATAGGGAAGGAGGTTGAGATTTAATTGTTTATTTTGTTTGTTTTCATATTAAATTATTTATTTGTAAAAAATAAAAATAAAAATAAAGAAATCTCA